GAGACAGGGTTTCACCATGTTGACCAGGATGGTCTCGATCTCTTGACCTCGTGATCCACCCGCCTCGGCCTCCCAAAGTGCTGGGATTACAGGCTTGAGCCACCGCACCCGGCCTATATCATATTTATATAATACATTATATTACAACATATTGTATTATATGTAATGATATATAATATATATTTATATTACATATTTTATATTATGTATCTATGTATATATAAATAAATATATTTATATAATATATTGGAAATCGATATATTTATAACATATTATATAATTATATAAACAATAGTATATAATTATATAAACAATTATATATTACATAATATATTTATTAAATATATAATATTAAATACATATAATAATTAAATATCTATTAAATAATTTTTAAATTTTTATTATATTTTATGTTACATAAAAATTAAATATTTATATAACATTGATAAACATATTACACAATTATATTTATATAACATATACTATATGAATATGAATAATTTATATTATATTTATCATTTTTACATAGGTATATTATATATCTTATATATTTATGTATTTATATTATATATTTATTATATATTTACATATTTATATAAGGTATTATATATTACATAAATTATATATTTATATATATACTATTTGTTTTATATACTAAATTGGATATATTTATATGTAACAGAATTATACATTATATATTTACATACATAAATTGTATGTGTATATATATAGTGTACAGCATGATGCCTTAATATATCTGTACCATGTGGAATGGCTAAATCAAGTTCATTTTAAAAAATTTTTATAATTTTAAAATTCATTTTATTTTATTTTTGAGACAGGGTCTCTGTCACCCAGGCTGGAGTGCAGTGGTGCAGTCATGGCTCACTGCAGCCTTAACTGTCCAGGCTCCCCCTTCAGCCTTCCAAGTAGCTGGGACCACAGGTGTGAGCCACCACACCTGGCTAATTTTTGTATTTTTTGTAGAGACAAAGTTTTGCCGTGCTGCCCAGGTTAGTCTCCTGGGCTCAAGAGATCCTCCCACCTTGGCCTCCCAAAGTGCTGGGATTACAGGTGTGAGCCATCGTGCCTAGCCAAATCAAGCTTATTAACAACATATATATCAACCTGAATATTTATCTTTTTTGTGTATGGTGAGAACACTTAAAATCTACTCTCTGGGGACCAGCGCTGTGGCTCATGCCTGTAATCCCAGCACTTGGGAGGCAGAGGCAGGCAGATTACCTGAGGTTGGGAGTTTGAGACCAGCCTGGCCAACATGGTGAAACCCCGTCTCTACTGAAAATACAAAAATTAGCTGGTCGTGGTAACTCACGCCTGTAATCCTATGACTTTGGGAGGCCTGAGGTGTGAGGACCACTTGAAGCTAAGAGCTAGAGACCAGCCTGGGCAACATAGCCAGATTCCATCTCTTCGACAACAACAACAAAAAATGTTTTTTAATTAACTGGATGTGATGGCACCCGCCTACAGTCCCAGGTACTCAGGAGGCTGAGGTGGGAGGATCCCTTGAGCCTAGGGGTTGGAGGCTGTAGTGAGCTATGATGGTGCCGCTGCACTCCAGCCTAGGTGACAGAGCAAAACCCTGTCTCTAAAAAAAAGAAAGAAAAACAAAAAACGAAAGAAAGAACATTGTTACGGGTACCCCATCTGTCCTGTCCCACCAGACAGAAACTTAGCCCTAAAAATAAAAATAATTTCTAGAAAACTGTTTTTGAGATAGTTTCACTCTGTCGTCCAGGCAGGAATGCAGTGGTGCAATCATAACTCACTACAACCTTGATCTCCTGGGCTCAAGTGGTCCTCCTCCCTCAGCCTCTCGAGTAGCCAGGACTACAGGTACACACCACCATGCTTGGCTAATTTTTTTTGGCACAGATGGAGGTCTTGCTATGTTGCCCAGGCTGGTCTTAAAACACCTGGCCTCAAGCCATCCTCCTGCCTCGGCTTCCCAAAGCAATGAGATTATAGGTGTGAGCCGCCATGCCTGGCCAAAAAAATTTTTTTAATTAGGAAAAAAAAAAAAAAAACATTTGGCCAGGTGTGGTGGCTCACATCTGTAATCCCAGCACTTGAGGAGGCCAATGCGGGTGGATCACCTGCGGTCAGAAGTTCGAGACTAGCCTGGCCAACATGGCAAAAATCCCTTCTCTACTAAAAATACAAAATTTAGCTGGGCATGGTGGTGGATGCCTGTGGTCCCAGCTACTCAGGAGGCTGAGGCAGGAGAATCACTTAAACTTGGGAGTTAGAGGTTGCAGTGAGCCGAGATTGTACCACTGCACTCCAGCCTGTGCAACACAGTGAGAATCTGTCTCAAAAAAAAGGAAGGAAGGAAGGAAGGAGGTAAAGAAGGAGAAGAGAAGAGAAAAGAAAATTGTCATGTTACAATGTTGGGTTCAGGTCATGGTTGCTGCTCTCCTGGGGCCCACAATCTGGCAGAGACAGGAAGAGGTGGTGAGGACAGGTAGAAAGGGTGTGCCCATGTGGTGAGGTTTGACATGAACAACTCTGGAAAAGCAATGCCCCTGGCCGGGCGCGGTGGCTCACGCCTGTAATCCCAGCACTTTGGGA